CGCCCTTTCCCCCCCGCCCCGCGCTCGCTCTCGGCCGTTTCTGTCCCTCCGCCGCCGCCGTAGCGGGCGGGCGGGCGCGGGGCGCAAGATGGCGGGGCCACGCGCAGCCGGCCGCTGCCCGCCAGTGCCCGGGCAGTTTGACGATGCCGACGGCTCCGACGGGTACGGGGGGGGGGGGAGGCTGGTAAACTCGCAAAATTTATAATTTATACTTGGGATAAGCATACTAAATCTTGTATTTTTATGACTTATCCGAGCGCGTATGTGTTTGAAGGGAACTTGCGCAGGACGCAGAGGCAGCCGCGGAGGGTGGGGGCGCTGAGGATCCCCAGTCACGTCTGCGCGAAGGAGGCGATAACGGTGATAACGATGATGATGATGATGGAGAAGAGGAGGGCGATGATGACTGGGACTGGGATGACGAGATGGGAAGGCTCACGAAGTGCCACGCTGCTGGGTGCAGCCCGCAGGTACGGTGAAGGCTCTTCGGGAAGCACCAAAGGTACCCAAAAGGAGATGGGGCTCATTTGGGGGCGTTGTTCTGTGTTAACGTTATGGGGAGCATAAATCCAAATGGAAAACTTACCTTGAGAGCATCACCTTTCCTTGCGTCTATTCCTGTGTGTAGCCAGGCCTCTGCTTGACCTCCTTGTCCCAAACCCTGCTGCTGGATGCTTCTTGGCTCTGTAGTTTTCCTCCTGTTCCTTAGCTTCCTCAGCCTTCTCTTTGTCTGTCCCAGTCTTTAGCGATGTTGCTTTTTGTTTGTTTGTTTTTGGAATTTGTCTTTTGTGATTTTGAGCATCTTCCCCGTTCTTTCCATTGAATTTTAAGACAGTGCCTGCTCAACATGCCCAGGATGAAATTTTTGTTTGTTTGTTTGTTTTGGACCATGTTTTGGTTCAACGCCTAGGGGCAGCTAGGTACCATGCAGCCACTCTCTCACTCCCTGTCAGCAGGACAGACTTTGGGGGGAGGACAACAACCCTGAGGGTTTGAGACGAGAGCATTTAGACAAAAGGAAAAGGCAAATGTCCTTTGGAAGGAAAATGAGAAAAAAAGAATCTTTACTTCCCATCAGGAAGTAATGTTCAGACGCTTCTTGAAAAGCAGGACCTCACTAAGCATGGTGGTTGCTTGGGAAGACAAACAGTTTTGTAACAGGAGTCCCTCTTCTCTCCCCCCAGCTTTTTCTGAGGATGAGGTCTTACAGTATGGGATATCCCTTTGATTGGTTTAGGTCACTGTCCTGGCAGTGTCCCCTCCCTGCTTCTTGATTACCCCAGCAAGCTGGTATTTTGGGGGGAGTTGGAGAGGCAGCCTTGATGCTGTGCCTGTGCTGCTCAGCAATAGCCAAAACACTGATGTGGTATCGATATGTTTCTAGCTACAAGTGCAAAGCACAGTGCTGGATGGGCTGTTGTGGTGAAAGTTTAACTCCATCCCAGACAGACCCAGTACTGACTAATGGCACAGGAGGTGAGGGGAAGTGCTGGAAGTGGATGGATTTAGAGTGTGTGCTGTTGGTTTAGAAACTTGTGTTGTGCAGAATGAAAAGTGCACAATGTGAGAACCAGCTTCTTCGTCCTCAGCTTGGACAGCAGAGGTTTAAAATCTTTTTTTTTTTTTATACATTGGTACCAGCAGAACAGAATAGTTGAGAGGAGGGTGGTACTGATCATGGTGTATCATGTCTGACTTGGCACTTCTGAGATTTATTCTCACCTTTTGTTAGCACTTTGTGCTGTCTAGTGTTGGTGGAACAGTGTTCAGGTATTAATTATCTTCAGAGAAGGGTACCTGTAAGAAAAAATACCATCTTTGAAAGTTTTCTGTTTGCTACATTCTCATTTTTGTCCTTGTTTCTGTCTGTTACTCCCTTTTCTTTTAAAGATGAAAAAGTGTTAATACGAGAGACTTGCAGCTCAGTTTTCTGACCAAATATAACCTTGAAATTGGGCACTTCTTGGAATATAGCTGCTGTGTCACTTTTACTCTCATGTCTTGAGTTAAAGAAAATCTCATGTTAATCCATTTCTTTGCTCTTTCTCTTTTTCTGTTTATAGCTATAGACACAGGCATCTGAGCTGACTTTCCCTAAGATACACTGTGTATTTCAAAGGGCTGTTAAGAGAAGGCAACTTACATTAACAAATCATTTGTTTCAGGCAAATAGGCAGAACCCTAGTTACTCTTCAGCAAAAATGTCAACCCCTACAGACAAGGCCTTGAGGAAATTTGAACATAAAATTAATTTGGGTGAGTATATTTGTCTTGTTTATAGAAAAAAAATATTTTTTGAAAAAGCGGATGCAGTGCACTCTGTGATGTTCTCAGACTGGTTCTGCTTGCTTTAAGCCAGAACTTACTGGAATGGCAGTTAACCATTTCCAGACAGATTAAAAAGGACTTGCCTTTAGTCTTCGTTAAGTGGCTGTCATAATGTTGTCTGTGCCCTTTGAGAGCCAGAGGATTCTTTTTCCCTTTACTGCTCCAAGTCAGATAAAGTGTTTTTTCCACAGCTCATCTGTAGGAGCGAACTGTTTGGATTGTGGGAGAATATCAGCTCTGTTACAATGCCAGTGTTTGTTCTCAAAGCTGCTACCACAGCTAAATGTTTTTAGATGATTGCTGTTCCCTGTAGTGTTAGTGTGGTACTTTATGTAGCAGTTATCTCACAGGGGTAGAGTTTGAGTGACAAGTAAAGAGGCTTCTGCTGTCCTAGCCTGTGTGGCTTCTTGTTTGCCATGTGATGGAAATGGCTGCTCTGCTTAGCCTGCTAGGGTGCTTTGTAGTTGTGATTTATTTATTTATTTTTTTCTGATGGGACAGTAAACAGTTGCATTTTGCTTCATAACAAGGTGGTTCTAAAATGTAGGCTGATAAGAGTAAAGAGTGGTCCTGGTATGTGTCCAGACAAAGTACCTCTTACATATTTAACAATTAATCAAGCACCACTTTGAATACACTGGGGGGGGGGACAGAAACCTGGAGGTTATTGCTTGCTCTATTTAGAAAAATGGCATTAGATTGTGGTAAGAAAAGGGCAGATGAGTTTAATATATTATTGAAAAGGCATTAATTCAGGTTGGCATTGCATCTTAAAGGTTGTGGGACTGTCTTAGTTGTTGTTATTTTATTAATCCTACTTTGAAATGTAGACAGAATGGAGAGCTAGGTTAACTGTGATGTGCAACTAAACTCTTAGGTAAGCTTCTATGCTTTATGTACCCAATCAGAGATCCATTGGTGTTTGAACGTTGTGTTGTAGCATATTTGCTGGCAAGCACAATTGCAGAGATGGTACTGAACATAGGACAAGATTTTTTTTTCCCTGTCTCGATGTTGTCTTACATGTTTTTCAGATAAGCTGAATTTTGATGACTCCGTTATAAACAGAGTCACAGAGAAGTCTAGACAGAAGGAAGCAGATATGTGAGTATCATGCCTGGCTCTGTTTTCATTGACATGAGAACTCTTCTGAGTTCAAATTATTATTCTTAGTTTGATCCTGAACTTCTAATAAATTTATTAAAGGAAAAAAAAGATCTGTAAATAGATAGCATGCAGTTTGCATTTTGGCCTTAAACCTTTTGATTTCTTGATCAGTTTCCTAAATAATTCCAATGTTTTGATGCTTCTGTCTCTGCAGTGGAGGCAAGAAGATAACCATAATAGTGAAGGGCACTGATGCTTGTGGGCTTGGTTTTGTTTTGTTTTTCCTGCCTGCAGGAGAAGTCTTCTGCCTTTGTATGTATAAACTTATGTTTTGAGGCTGTCATCTTCTCTTTGAAACAGAACGGCATGTTTTACTCTGTCTAAGTATTGAGTCTATGTGTGTGATTGTATCGCTTTATTTTCACTTTTGCTAGGTACCGAGTCAAAGATAAGTCAGACAGAGCAACAGTAGAACAAGTAAGTACTTAAATGCATCAGATTTCTCTTTTGACCAAAATAAATGATCTGGAATCTTGAAATCAGTGATAAAGCAGCTACTATAGCAACAAGAGTTTTGCCTTGGAATTCTGTTTGTCTTGTTATTCTAAAGAAAACTTTCACTTCTTTTTTGAAGTTTGTGCTTATAAACGTTTTGGAGCTCAATTTTGTGCATAGTGTTGTAATTTGATGGTATATACAATACAGAATTTCATTTTAAGCTTTTATTAAATTTCAAGAAACAAACAAAAAAGCTTTGCTTTTATTTTTTTCTTAAGCAAGCCTGAAATATTATTGGCCCTTGGCCACATAGCTGCTCTGTTTCACTTATGAAAGCTATAAATTAAGAGAAACCGTATTTTAACGTCTAACGCAACTCTGGGTAGGAAATAATTCTCTTATGTCTGTTTTAGATCCATCTCAACGATGTATACTTGTTTGTGTTTTTTTTTTTTTTAATTATTTTTTAAAGGATGTGAAGCATCATTCTAGAATTACGGCAAATTCCGTGCAGCTGTTGTTTGAATTATTGTTTGATCCTCAAGAATAATCTGATGCTGTTAGTCCTGTCATATAGTACTAAGAACAGACTGTAGTAGTAAGTTTTATTCTCTTTATAGAGAGCAATTGTGCTGACTGTTCTGTATTGAACTTGAGGTGTTGGATCCAAGGACTCGAATGATTCTGTTCAAGATGCTAACAAGAGGTGTCATATCAGAAATCAATGGCTGCATCAGCACAGGGAAAGAAGTAAGTTCTGTTACAAACAGCAACATGACAGTCTTATTCTCAGCAAGCTAGGTGGAAGCTTATGGTACTCAAGATACATTGAAGAAACGTTTGGATTTAGTACTAGTCTTGGTATGTGTTACTTGATTAGTAGGAAGTTATTTTAAGATAAAATACTGTGAAGGAGATCAGTTTCCCCAAGTACGAAGGATTTCTCAGAGTACTTAATTTTAAATTTGTCATTAATTTAATTAATTCTATTCTTAATATTTCTATGTGAAACTTCTGCAGAGCGTATATGTATATACAGTATAAAACAGTGCCTGAAAAACATGCAAATCCAGGTAATTCTTTCTTCACACAAGGCTATTGCATGTGGATCAGATCAGTTCAGCATCTCTCCAGGGATGTGAATATTTAATGACATAACAAAATTCTGTTTAAGATATTACTGAGCTTTGATTGCTTTTGCAAAACTAGCATGTTTGTGCACTGCTATTATCAAGTTATATTGCAGATAATTAAAACCAGACTACAGTTTTCCCAGTAAATTAATAAATCATTTTTAGAATGCCTTGTCCCTAGGCTGATCTGGTTTTCTTCCAGGTCCTTGGATTGTGATTAAAGTCATGCTTCTGCCTGGTGTAGTGGTGCCAGCATTACATATTTAGGCCATGCTTTAGGGCCTAAATAATTCAGAGGCTCAAGTTAAGCCTTCACACAAGGGCTTGTTTCAGTGTCAAAATATGAATGGTGTGGAATTCTGTGTTGTTAGTTCTGTCTTGTGTTCGTCTTCACGCACTTACTCAGTCTTACTTACTTACTGCAAGCTGTCTCTGGTAGAAAAAGAGATGGCCATTATGTGCAATTTCACTAATTCGTCTGAGTGCCACAAAGGGGCTGAGGTGGGGATGTTTTCCAGGCTGTCAGAAAGAGGAAAGAAGGTTGGGTCAATTCAGAGTTCTTTTTCTTCTTCCCCCCCTTATTAATCCAATAGGCCAACGTATATCATGCCAGTACTTCGAATGGAGAGAATAGAGCAATAAAGATTTACAAAACATCTATTCTGATGTTCAAGGATCGGGATAAGTATGTGAGTGGGGAATTCAGGTGAGTTGGAGTTCTGCTTGGTTTTACTGGAGAAGAGGGGTTGTTTGAAAGGTGGTGAAATGACCAGTGTTGATATGATATTGATTGGCTGAAGAATTCCCCTTGTATATGTATTTTTTTTTTTTTTAAGATTTCGTCATGGATATTGCAAAGGCAACCCAAGAAAAATGGTGAAGACATGGGCTGAAAAAGAAATGAGGAATTTAATAAGGTGATTCTTCCAGTTTTTATTTCAGCATGCAAAGGTAACTGAAAAGTTACAGGATATACTCTTCTACTGCTAGACTGTGGCTGTTACTGCCCTTTATGATCTCTGGAATATTCAGAAGTGTCTTAATGATTCCATGTCAGAGGGAAGAGGGAGAAAAGCAATCAAGATACTACTTTGGCTGTTCATACTCCAAGCTCTTCAGAGTCTGATTTGATTGAAAAGTGAGGAAAGGCTAGAAAATAGCTGCTGCTGAGTACACTGTGCTATATAAATTAATCTAGTGTTAACCTCAAATTATGTAAAGATTCTTTGTCTGATACAGGAACATTTTGAGAAGGGTCAGAGCAGAATGGCTTTTTTTTTTTTTTTGCATTTGTTTCATAGTTGTTCTTCACAAGCATGAGTTGCCCGAGTGGAGGAGCTCTTACTGTGTGTGATGCTTAAAGCAACGGAGCTCCTGTAGGCACTCTTGCAATGCAGACAGGAGAGTTATTCTGTATTTATTTTTTTCGTGGTTCTCTTCCCATGTTACAGGTTGAATACAGCCCGGATACCTTGCCCAGAGCCAATTATGCTAAGAAGTCATGTGCTTGTCATGGGCTTTATTGGTAAAGGTGATAGGTATGTATCCACAGAAAATCAAAATGATTCTCTTTATTAGTAGCTTTCCACAAAGGTTTATTAAAAACAAACAAACCCTCTGTATTTACCTACTATTTACCTATTAATTTAGGCCTCTGAAATTAACTTGTTACTCCTACCTGTGTATGTGACCCGTAGAATACCCAGATATTTGCCAGCTACTGCTGCAGACAGTCTGCATGATTCTGAAACATCAGCTGTGTGCAAAATGAATCCAGAAAATGACTTAGTGAGAGAGTATGGCTAGAAAGGCTTCCTAATAGTATTTGTAGTTCATTATTTTGTAGTACAAATGTTAATGTAACCTGTCTCAGCTTCTTAGCTCATTTTGGAAACAGCTCCAGTAACTTTGGCAATATAACACAAGCTTTCCTGCCTTACATGCTGGCTCCATGCACTTAGCTGCTCATGCTGACTTTCTAAATGCACTGAGTTGAAGGATTGGGTATAGCAGTTACGAACAAGGAAAAAAGTACTCACTTTCTGTTACTTGTGTTGTAACTTTAAGGCCTGCTCCTCTGCTGAAGAATGCTCAATTATCTGACTCGAAAGTCCGGGAGCTGTACCTGCAAATCATCCAGTACATGAGAAGAATGTACCAAGATGCCAGACTTGTTCATGCAGATCTCAGTGAATTTAATATGCTGTATGTTTTTAAACTTTGTTCTGGATTGTGACATTTGAAATGTATGTGCTGGCAACTGCTGTGTATCAGTTTGAGTGTACTAATCTACCTTTAAGGGTGGGTGGGTCCTTTTTGTGACCGTTTCTCAATTTATCTAATTAATTATGTAGCTTTTAACCTAGATCTGAGATCTATGTTTAAAAAAAAAATACCAGAACAACAAATTATCAACTAGTGGAAGCATTAGTGAGGGACATACAGATACGTACTTTTTTTTTTTTTCCTCTCCTCACCCATAAGACTGTTTTGTGTGTTCTTGAGGAGACTATTCCTTTAGGGTTTAATAGTACAGGTTGGATAAAGGAGGGAAAGAATTTACCAAAAAAACAAAACAAAACAAAAAACCTCTGGCTTTAATATGTGAGATGTATTCTAGAGAAATTCATTAAGTTTGTTTGTGGGTTCTTAAGTTTGAAGCACGCTTTGTCCCCCTGCCCCTCTCCTGCGTAACATTGGTGGACTCACGCAGCCTGGTGTGTTTGTCCCCAGGTACCACAGCGGGGACGTGCACATCATTGACGTGTCTCAGGCAGTGGAGCATGACCATCCACATGCACTGGAGTTTCTGCGAAAGGACTGTGCCAATGTTAATGGTGAGTGGGCTGCACTCTTGTTCGTAGGCCTTGTAGGGGTCTTGTTCGTCTTTTTCAGGAAGGTGAATTGTCTTTGAGTTATAACTCTGGTTATAGAGGCTGTCAAACCAGTTAAATGCTCCCTTTCCTAGGTTCTCCAAAGTTCCTTGGGGAACTGAGTTCTGTGCTGAGTTCAGAAGACAGTGTAGCCTATTTTGCTAGAAATTGTCTGGATGAAATGAGTCACCTGGCTGAATCTCAGATTTACAATAGAAGGTAGAGGTCAGAGTCCCAGTTTGCAGCAGCGCCTCCCCCAGCCTTAGCTTTCCTTACTTGAAGGACTGTTCAGACAGACCGATCTGTCCTTCTGTGAGTGTAATCCACATCTGGAATTCTTCAATTTGAAAGAAGTTACTGTGTTTCACAGAGTTCCTTGTATTTATTTATCTAGGTCCACTTAGAAGATCAAGGCATAGAGTAATTTATTAGAGATTGTAGACTTGTCATAGTATTCTGATAAAACAGCATACCTTTATGGTATTTTTCTCTTAAAAATTTGGTCGTTATGAGTGAGTGCGTATGTTATGTAAGAGACAAATGTTTTCTGGTAGGCTGCCTTTCTCCCTGAGAACAAAAAATGTCTTGGTGCAGGCTGCTTTCCAACCCCTCCCTTTTCTTTTCCAAATGATTTTTCAAATTTTACAGAGACTTCTGAAAGTTTGTGGAAAAGAATATATACATTTTGATGCTGTGTTTGATACCCAGTATGTTTGTTATTCCTTATTTCTTTTCTGTTCATGGATTTCTGATTGATCCCTTCTGGCTCAGATATTTGCAACCTTTTTTTTTTTTTTGCATGTGTTATGGCTTGCCCTATCTAAATGCCAGTGCCTCGGTGACTTGCAGTGTTTTCTGATTTTTTTTCTGCTTTGTTTTCTGCTACTGCTGTGTAGTCCTCCTACAATGACTAAGAAATGCCTTACTTTATGCTCTGCCTTAGCTGTGAGCATTGCAAAGATTTGTGGCTCCACGGGCACAGAGTGCTGCTACTTATTTTTTTTGTTCTTTCTATGATTGATCTCTCATGGGTGAGAGATCTTATGAGAACATTAGCAGGGAAACACTTACTAAGCAGTCCTTTGTGTGTTTCACTGCTGTTTTCCAATACAGAAGCGCAACCTCCAAAATTAGTTATACTTGACTCAAGAAACCAATTCTGAATATAGTAAGTGAGGAAAATAATGATATGTTAGTGTGTCCCATGTTTCTTTCCATTTCAGTGGATCGTAACTAGGCTGCAGTGTTTCAGTAGATATTTCAGTTTGACAAAAGTTTGAGATCTGCACTCCTTATTTTTTTGAAAAGATTTTTCATCTCAACCATTGCAATTATTACACCTGTCTTAAATTGTTTACTTCATCTTTCTTAGCCCCTTCTCCATTCAGTATGGCTCCTGCTGAAGATGATTTGACTTATATTTATTCAGTTTTATTCTTTTTTCAGTATTTGTTGCACTGGGAAGGTGAACAATTTTATTTCAGGTCGCCAAAGGTCATCTGATATCTAAAGCCAGAACAATATATGCTGCTATGTTGCTGCAATTGTCACTTAACATCACAGTTGCATGTGTTACACATCATTATTTAAAGTCTCTTGTCTCTGCCCTTGATTTCTGATAGGCTTTTTCCAGAAGCACAATGTTGCAGTGATGACTGTGAGGGAGCTGTTTGAGTTTATTACCGATCCTTCTATCACAAGTGAGAACCTTGATGACTATCTGGCAAAGGTAAGATCACATGGACTTGTTGCTTATGTAGGTAGATTTGAACAATAAACTCAGATCTAGTTCAAACTCCGTCTTGTTTGCTCTACATACTACTGTTGAAGTGGACTGGTACATTACATTGCATTATGCCAGTGCTTCAAAAATGCATAGGGGTCTTTTTCATTTATACTGTTACAGGATGAACATATCTTTACTTTATGTTTTCTGAAAAAGACTAAGCATGAAAACTCAAACATCTGTCTGAGGTGCTATTTGCATTAAAATCTGTGTGCTTTAAAGCTTTTGTTTCCTTTATTAAAAGGAAAGAAAAGGTTACTTAGTTCTGCAGAAATATACCCATGCTGATACAGAGAATGGAGTTGGGAGTTAAGACTTAACCCTGCAGACTTCAATTAGGGTGGGCTGAGGGAGGAAGGGAGTGACTCAGAGCAATATTACTCCAAAGTATGCAGTCTCACTAGCCAAATATTATGGCTGGTAGGACATCCTTATTCTAGGAGGAGGTAAAATGCTTGGTGTCGCTGGAAGCACCCATGCATTTTGTCTGTAGCTGTCAGTCCTCTGCTCCCAGTCAAATCCTTATTGAAAGAGAAGGAGGGAAATTAAAAAAAAAAAAAAAAAAAAAAAAGAGGGGCTGGTAAATGGGGAAGGACCACATGTGTCATGATCAGAGTGGATATGAGGTATTGTTCCTGGCCATGTTCCTAGTCAAGACCATGAGGCTGAGTGTTGTCCAGATAGCACTATGGCATGAGGATTTCCAGATGCTGTGTACTTTCAGTCATACTGGAAGTTGAGAGAAGTAGAGCTGTGCTTTATGGCTTTCACTTCTTTTACTTCTTTCACTTTGTGTTCCTCTGGCTTACTCTGTGTGTGACAGTGAAAACAGCCGATTCCAAGACTGGGTTTTGCTCACTGTATTGCCCTGTTATGTATTACAGTAAATGTATCAGTTATGTATTACAGTAAAGCTAGACCTGTTATAATTTGGTCTAGAAGTAACAGTGAGTGTGACTTCCTCCTGTTCTCAAAGCAGATCTGTGCTTGTGCTTTGCGGAAACGCTGGTTACCGTTAGGGGTCGCTCAAGGCATTGCCATAAGGAGGGCTGGAGCGTTTTGTGAGTGAGAGTGGGGAGTACAGGGAGAAATACAGATGGGAATGGTTAGTTGGATTAAATGATGCGATTCTAAACAGTGATAACTTTGTATTGTTTTATATTTCTTCAGGCAATGGAAATAGCATCAAAAAGAACAGAGGAGGAAAGATCCAGTCAAGATAAAGTGGATGAGGAAGTAAGTGAGGATTTTTGTTCCTGCTATGAAATTAAAATTAATCTTTCCTCTTCTGAACAATGAAAACTGTTCTGTTTGGCAAAATGCACAGTTGATAAATAAAACATAGTGATATTGCTATGTCCTGCACTAGCAGTAAGTGAAGTATTGAAGGATGCCGTGGGTAAAAGCAAGTGACATTGACCAGGTGTTAAACAGCTAATACTCAATTACCTAAACCAGTATGTTTGCTTGCAGCTAGGTCCCTTGATGTATCTTCAGTTCAACTTCAGTTAACAACAACAACGATAAGAGTGGAGTTCTAATTGTCACAGTGATTTTTTTCAAGTGGTGATCTAGAAACAGGAGGATACACATGATATTCAGATGGATGCATTCGTGAAATTGCCCACGTGCCTTTGTTCCCAGTCTCATTCATTCAATCTTCCAAATAACTGTTTCTCTCCCTTGCTTTTACATGTAAGAAGAACCACCTCAAGTCTGTTCTGTTGCATAATGAAAATGGCTAATGACCTGGGAAGGCTTGATGCAAAGATAAAACAGTCTTTATTTGATTTTTCAATCTTATCTCTCTGTTACAGAAGAGTTAAATTAATTAATAATAATAAAAAAAACGTGAACAGCAACAAAAAACTGGTGCAGAATTTGTATCAATGAGAACCTATTTGTACTAGTTCACCCAGTGTTTATCCTTGGAAGAAATTTTATTTGGATAAAAATAAATTCATCAAAGACTTTTCTTTTTCTCTTGGAGCTGTAGGTTTTAGTGATTGCTGCTGGCTCAATATTGACCAATGAAAGATTTTTGTTTCCAAAGATATCTTGAGCATACAAATCCTTTTGAACTGTAGAGTCAGATGCTGTTTTTCTTGTTGCAAGTCAATCTTTTGCAAGAAATAATTTGTTTGCAAAGGAATAATCCTTTGCAAACAAATTAGTCCTTTCATCAAGGTACTGTCCAGTTAGAGAATGTGAAGTGGTTAAGTAGCATCAAAGTTATGTTTACCTCTCTCACTTCTCACATTACCTCAGGCTAGTTTCTGTAACTTCCCTTGTGAAAAAATACAGCTGATTAAGAGCAAGTTCTGTGGAGACAGTCTCTGCTGTCCATGCAGCACTTCGTCTAGTACTTAGGATCATAAAGGGTACTGAATTTGTTTCTGGGATTGAGCTGATACTGTGGAAAAGAGAAGTAAAACACTTGTGTCTGATCTGGTAGAGACTTAATCTTGCTGGAGGACTGTTTCAAAAAGATTGCCTGATAAATTTTAAGTATGTTGTTGATACTGCAGTTAGGTTCCTGCACCAGTATGGTACTGTGAAACCCTTTTTGAGTTGGAGTGTAGGTTGAAGAGGAATTTTTATATAAAGAGATTAAGTTGTAACAGCTTGTTTTAATGGAGCTGTCCCTTGAAGCATTGTAAACATAACAATGAAAACTTCAGAATAAAAAATTCAAATCAGTAAAGAGGAAGTTGGAGAGACTGGTGAAGTCCCTAAATTGGCTGCTAGCAGTGATACTAATGTAGGAGCCTTATTAGTGATGAGCTATCAACAACCTGTGGGTTGTGTATTTAGAGCCTGCTCCAGGAAAAAAAAGATACTCTGCAGTACAAATGGTAGTGTGAATGCTATGTTCGTTTTTAGTTTCTCTGAGCCATGAAATCTCTCATGGTCGTTCTCTTAAGGATGTGTAATTAGGATGGAAGAATATCATGAAATTATATGCAAATGAGTATGTGTTTCCTTTCTCTTTGGTAGGTGTTTAAGAAGGCTTACATACCTCGCACATTGACTGATGTTAAAAACTATGAGAGAGATGTGGATATAATGATGAAACTGAAAGAAGAGGATATGGCATTGAGTGTTCAGCAAGATAATGTGAGTAGATAATCCAGAGGTGCTACAGGGAAAAAAAGGGAGGAAATAGGAATTTTTCTTAATAAAAACTGGTAGCAACAAAGAAAAATGGAAGCTTTGGTATCAAGGCATGGAATGCTGAATCTAGTGTTGTATTTAAAATTCTTTGGTTAGTACTAATGCTAAAATTACTGTCTTTTATGAGGTACTCGTCTTTTCCATGTGCAAAGATTTAAGATTTGCAGTTTGATAACATTTTCTTTCTGTGTCTCTGGGTGTAGATTCTCTACCAGACTGTGACAGGGCTGAAGAAGGATTTGTCTGGTGTTCAGAAGGTGAGGTGGCCTTTTTTGGAATCCTTCATTTTATCCGTATTCATAAAAGTGCACATAGGAAGTACAGAGAACACCTCGTCTTGAAGCTTGTGACAATGGAAGAAGCTTCTTGTCTGCAGAGTGCTTGTTTCTGCCTATTACTTGGCAGTGGTGTAGACTTGAAAAAATGGAATTGCAAATATGGGAAGGGATCAGGCTGTGGCACAGTCTCCAGCGTTGTTTAAGAATAAGCATGTTTTGCAGCGTAGATGCTTGTGTTTGCTCTAAAGCCTACATACAGTGCCCCTAAGGTAGATTTTGGTATGATCCAAGTATAATTAAAAATTGGCTTTCATCTATGTTAGGAAATTGCTGTTTAACTTAGGGAAATCAGTTTGGGAGTGCCAATGCATCTGTGCTGTGAGCCCTAACCTAAAAGATCCTATGCTGTATACTAGATTTCCTGTTCTTAGTTTAGATCAGCCTCTTTTTCACTCTTCTTGTTGAGACTCAATGGTGGCTGTAGTAGAGGAGATGACACAAGCTTGCCTGAGGGTTTCTTTGTAGGAGATTTTTTTTTTTAAATCTGTCTATTTTGTTGCTAGGCTACTGAGTTTGGGTTTGCGATGAATTCCCTCTTCATGTTATCTTACAGATTCCTGCACTTCTTGAGAAGGCAGATGAATCAGAAACAGGCTCTGATTATGAAGACAGCAGTTCAGAGGACTCTGATTCAGGTTGTAAAGAATCTCGGCATCCCAAAGATCTTCCTGCTGAAGTTACCATGGATAAAAAGGTCAGCTGGCCAGGAGCTGTGCATTTTCCTACATCTGTCCACATGACAGGAAAAAAATCCAAATATAGTTCTGAGTGGTTCTTCCTACTTGTCTGAAACAAGCTGTTTTGGAAAGAGAATGAGAGCGTAGAAAGTGAATTTCATTATAAATGTTCTATTAATGGTGTTTTTGTGTAGAGGAACTTCATGACATACTGCTCTCTAGCCTAGACAAAGCTAGAAGAGTAATCTCTGCAGGGAGCTCTAAGGCCATGTAAAGCACTCATTTTTTCCCTCTTAGGAAAGATAATGTAGTAGGTTCCAAGTCCACTGAATGAAACTGCGTTGTTCTACTACAAGTTTTTTGTACCTATCTGGAAACGTAGAGCCTTTCAGATATGAAACAGCGATGTCTTGGTCACTTCTCATCCTTACGGACAGGTTTTAATTTGGACTTATTATTGTGTGAGTAAGGTGAACTTTTTGGTATCCCACAAGTGTATTGGTAGGTTGGATGATTGATCAGTGGTGATTGCTTTCCTTCTCCTTGCCTTCTGTTATGCTCATTTTTTTTATTTTTTTTTCCAGTTGAGCATAGTCTCTGCATTGTCTGGCAGAAATTATAATGTGTTGCAGTGGCCTAGCCCCCGTTACCAACAGTTACTGGATCAGTAGTTTTGTGTGGTGTTTAAAAACATACTACAGTAGCCCTGTGGGTAACAGAAAATTTAGATCAGACTTATTATTGTATAATATTTGCTATAAATAGCATGAGTTGCATACTTCTCGCTGTCTTTCTTCAAAGCTTGCATGAAACTCAGGTTTTAACTAGTTTGAATTTTGTATTGTCATGAGCCTGGGGGTGGAGCTGCAGACTGATACACACTTTCTTTTTCCTTTCTTCTCCTCACTCCCACAGATTTTTTTCTTCTTGATAACAGCGTATTTGATGTGATGTGTTAATTAATTTAAAGATTGACAGGCCTGCTCAAAATCTGTCATTCCTGCTGGCTTTAAATGGATGGTGTTTTGATTCTTTGTAGGAAAGGAAAAAGATGGTCAAAGAAGCCCAAAGAGAGAAGAGAAAAAACAAAATTCCAAAGCATGTGAAGAAGCGGAAAGAAAAGACTGCAAAAATGAAGAAAGGCAAATAAAATCAGCTTTGGCTCGAGGAATGGGCTGGCTTGTTGTTGGTTAATTAGTCACCATCTTTTATAATTAAATCTTTTATTTATATACATACAGTATTAACTGTGAGGGTGGTTTCATTAACAAGGTGGTGTAATTATTTGAACAGAATATATGCCATGTTTTCTTAATAGGAAAGAATGAGTTTAACATACTTGTGCTTGTTAAAATCCTTCACATGTGGAGATTCAGCCTGATGTTAGACTCGCATGGATTTGTCGCTGGGGTCTTATTTCTGCCCTACACTGTGGGAGATGTACAACTTAAGTGGTCCTCTGCAGGCTGTCACCTCACCTGCAGGTAACCCTGCAGACATTGTGACCTTGCTGCCTCCCTGCGCTTGCATCGCCTTTGATATTATCTTACTGAAAACGCAGTTTCGTGATTGGGAAGGCAGCTGTCCTCACTGCCCAGTGCCCTGGTGAAGCAATCAGGCAGGCATACCTAAGCAGACCAAAGCCATGATTTTTTGCTGGAGTTCCTTTTGCAACATGGGGCTCTGTTGTTCTTAAGGGTAGTGTGAGACAGCGTTTTGTAAGCTGATCAAATGAGCATTTGCAAGATTAATTGCGTGTGTTCAAACCCAAACCTCTCTGTGCGGAAGGCTGTGCTAGGAGCTGTTTGTGGTGTGGCTCAGCATTAGTGGTCTTTGTGCTAAGGTGCCCCGGCTCCTCAGGGAGGAGTTGGCAGAGCTCTGCTCATAACTGACCCACTTGTGTTGGAGCAGAGGTGCCATACAGAGACAGCCCACCTCTTGGCAGCTGCTTAGGCCTCTGAGGTTGACAGATGTTTTGGGAGAGGTGTCATCCTCATGCATCAACCATCTTTTCCTGCTGCCTATAGTTTCAGAACTCCCTGTACCAGAACAGAGAAGGGTTCTGATTTCAGTAAATGTCTTGATTTTTTTTTTTTTTTTCTTCAGTGTTGGGGTGGAGTTGATGCCCTGGGGATTACACTTATGGGACACACATTGTCTGATGACAGAGGAAAGCCTTTATCCATCAGTGCAAATCCAACAATGATGGGTTGGCCAGGGGCAGGGTGAAGCTTCCTTCTTTCTACTTCTCACCTTCCACACCCAAAAGAGATTGCAAGATGGTCATAGGCAGCCACCCTGGCAAAGACAGATGTTGTCCAATTGCACATGTGGTTGCTCCACTCAAGAATATATTCCTCAAGGAAATATGGTCTAGTTGCACTCCCCAGTTTGACCTCTACAGCCCTGTTGGTGCCTGTGGCTAGAAATATGGTAGGGCAGGAACTGGTCAGTGCTTCCAGACACCTCCCTCCCTTTATCCCAATCCCTACAGGAACTGACAGACTCTGTGGTGTACAGTGTGCATGTAAATGTAGTCCGTGTTGCAGGAGCATGTTGGGTGGCAAGATCAGTATTGCCTCAGCAAATGGGGATGTCAGTTAGGAGACTAAGAAGAAATGCATATGTTTTGGAAAATAGCATTACATGAGGAGAGAACCTGTACCTCCCTTTCCCTTCACTACTAAGGTGTAAGACCTACATGCAGAGGTAAGTGGGTACTGCCAATAGTGTTTTGCCTTATGCCAGGGCTGAGGTGATGCTAGCTGCATAGACATATTTCCTGCTTTTGCTTGCCATCACAGGAGCTTGTGCAGTAATATAATCTGGCAAAGGTGGCCTTGGCTGCCATAGCTGTGGTTGGTGGTGTTTCTAGGTGTCATGCTGGAGGTGATCGAGCAAATAAAGGGTTTGTGCCCTTTGCCATTGACTCGTATTATATCAGTGATTCTTCCCTACTGAGTGACAACACTGTGGTGCATGCATCTATGCCAACATTTGTGTATCTTTACATGAACATATGTGTACCAGGAAGTGGGGGAGTAGGGGCTAGCAGTGGTGGTAGGGGATTATGTCCCCTCTGTTGCCTTCTCCATCAGGAGATGTGTGCCAGGCAAACCTCAGTGTGTTTTGTGAAATGGGCCAAGCATAAGTGAGTCTCTAACAAGCAGTGTGTGCTCCACCAGTGGACTCCTGTACCAGAAAACTGGTTTGTGGCTGATCATTGTGAGCCTGGGGCTGCCAGCCACAAGAGGCAGCCCTCTTTTCATTGGGGCTGAGTGCTGTGGCTAAGGGTAGGTACGCATTTTTGGCATTGGGCCTGGGAGCCACTGACCCAGCGCATGTGTCCCATGGGGGCCTTTGCCTCCTGTACCTGAGGAGGCGCTTCAGAAAAAGGAGGCTGCTGTGATCTATGCCTGAGGGAAGAGGAAACACAGCTCACACAGCCTTGTCTTCCCTCTGGGCTGTGCGGCACAGCCTGATCGGGTTTGCCCAGCTCCAGCCGTCCTGTGGCATGGAGGTGGGCCTGAATCAGCCATTTAGGAGCCTTGCTTGCAGGGATGTGTGGCAGGACTGTCTGTGCAGGCTATGCAAAGCTGGCTGTCTGCCTCAGGTGTTTTTCTCTAGGGCACCCTTATGCAGTCAAGCTGTTCACAAAGCACCTGTGGTGGAACATGCCAGAAAAGCCCGTGTTTTGCAAGTGCAGGTGGCCTGAAGATAGCTGTTACAGCTGGGTATGCACTTAGTGGGGCAGGCTGTGAGCTCAGGTGCTGTGTCCTGGCTATTGCAGGCTTGAGACATAAAGAAGTGAGGCAGGAAACAGGTGAGCCAGGAGCACTTCGGGCCATGACCATGAGATGAGACATCTTTCTGGTGAACCCTGAAGTGGGAGAATGGTCATTAACAAACACGTTAGGGTCAGAACTACTGAAGGGCATCTGTGTGGTAGTAGGTGGGGGAACATGACTTTGGGTCCTGTGCTAAAGAAAAAGCCTTGAGGTTCAAAGTAGCATAGGATATTCAGCTATCCTCTGTAGACAACAATGTTTGATAGTTCTTCTTTGTTTTACTAAAGATTAGGATCTGAAAAGGCCTGCTCATCTTGCATTTGCCATAGTAACGTGTTTATGGATGGCACCTGTGCAGGTGGAGCATTGCTAGGGCAGGAATGCCCATACCTTTTATAAGAAGAACTGAGACGCAAGCAACTCAAGCTAGTGCTGCATCTTTATCCTTACACACACATGCACCATTGATATTGGACTTACTGATGGTTTCTGGGATCTCTTGTTTGTTATTTCAAGTGTCACACCACAGTGGAGCGGCACAAATGGACGGACCCTGGAGAGGTTGGTCATGGGATAGCTGTTGGGCAGTGGCTCCTGCAGATGACTGAGATGGGTTACAGCAGTGGTGAGGATGTGATAACTATTCCTGAGACAGTGAGAATTCCTTTCTGTTGACTGCAAACCTGTTCCTCCTCCGCTCCATTGCTCACTGGGTTTTGAAGTGTCAAAATGTAGCATACAGATGAGTTTTTTTTCTCCCCTTTTGAACAAGAACATCTGTACTTCGGTCATGACATAAACTCAGCTACTTTGTCACCATGGCTTTGGGAACACTTCTGCAAACAAGATTATATATTGTCTGACATATTTTTCAAAGTATGAATGTTTTGTTATCTGTGCTCTCTGAAAATGGAGGGGAGTCCAATTCTGTCAGACAATCAGTATGAATTTTTACAGCTGCAAAAGAGCACAGTTAACTGTAAACTGCTTTAATATTCCTTTCTGGCTAAAATATGAACACTAAACTTCTAAAGTACCAGTTATGAAAACAAAGCCCCAAGTAAAAAAAATAAAAAATAAAAAAATTGAAAACAATATTGTATTTTAAATTAAGGAAGTATTATTAGGGGGAAGAATAGTAAATAAGATTCTAACCAGCAAAAAGCATTGTCTGACCAAATTTTAAAGCTGGTATTTAGTTCTGGTCAGAACACGGACACGCAAAGCACGCTTTTCTCCCTTAGCATAGCACTGTGCATGGGATGGGACAGCCACTGCAGTGGGGAGTATGTGGTGGCATCACCTTTGGCAGTCCTGAGATCAGAGGATCAACCTTCTGGTGTCATCAGGAAGAATGGGGAATGGGACGGAGAGCACCATTCTGCTGCTGCGCCAAGCCTCCATGCACCTTTGTGTTGGGTGCTGTGTGTGGCTCTGGTTTCTGCATCGTGGTGGTGGTACAGGGAAGAGTGTGGTCAAGGTGATGGAGCAGCTGCCCTCATGAGGAGAGACAGTTCATCAGTTTGGAGAGGAGAAAACAAAGCAAGAGGTTAAAAAAAAATAAGAAAACAGTAGAGAAAGTGAACACGGAGATATTATTCACCAAACTCTGCAAATAGTAGTTAAGGGGAAGTAACTTAAACGAATGAAGGGCTGGTTTAAAACAGGTAGGAGAAGGTGCTTTACCTGGGGGCAGGCTGCACCAGTGCAGGTAAGCAAAGGTTGACAATTAGCCCTCTAATTTGAGGTGCCTTTAGCTTTTAAACTTTATTTTTAAACAGACTGAACATGTGAAAGACATCAGATTCTCAGACACAGGTCAGATACTTGGAAAGATGCATTTCTGGGAATTTGTGGCCAAAAGATTTAGTGATATTTGAAAGCTTAACTATGCACAGTGGGAATATTTACAACTGAGCTATCAAAGATAAGCGTGTAAAAAAGCAATTAGTCCTATCTTAGGACATTCCAAAGTAGTCCTATCTACCAGTCAGTTACTGGGACGCAGTGGGAGAAGTATGGGAGGGGAGGACAAGGAGGGAAATGCTCTCAGCAGGTGTCTTATGTTCTGTAAAAGTTCATCTCTGAGGTATTGGAGTTTTCCTCTCCCCCTCCTCTTGCATCTTTCTGAAATGCTGTATGGCCAATTTGCACTCTGAGCTGTTGTTGTCAGACTTCATTGCAGTTCTGAGGACTGCACCAGGCTGGTCTCAACTTACTCTGGTATTAATATGTTGCTTCTCCCACACTGTAGAGCTTATAATATGTAGCAACAGAAGGATTGGAAGGTGGAAGTTTCTGGATTTCGTTTCCCCACAATGAAGCCAGTAAAACCAGCTTTACATGTAAGGATATGTCTGCTTAGAGGGTTTTCATTTCTGTGCTGAAATATTTTGATTAAACAATGCAAAACTAGCTGTGGCAGGCCTCTGGAGCTGAGATGCATGCTTGCTTTTGGCATGTGTGCTCAGACAGGAGTCACACCTACAGTCTCTCAAGATATAAAAGAAGCGAGCCCACTGTTTTGAGGTCTGATGTGCCCTGCAGTTTTTGTTCAGAGCTAGTTGAGATGTTTCTGACAGTAAGGCTGCGGGAAATAGATTCCACAAATATTTGACCAATTTTTTTTTTTTTTATTTTTTTAACAAAGACATATACCTGGTTCTGTAGCTCAATCTTTTACCTGCTATTTTCTCCTGTAGAATTGTGCAGGCAATTTGGATGGGATACTGTAAATATGAGGCACTGATGCAGAATGTGGCAGGTGCTTTGTCTCTGCATTTCCTTTACCTGTAGGATTCTTTCCTGGGACTGCTTGCAGATGAAGAAGGACCACGAGGGCCAGGAAGGGTATAGGGGTCTCATGTCTGATTATGTGGACCTGCCTGTCTCCATCTCCCTACATTACAAAAGGGGAAGGATTTGGATGCTCAGTGAGTGAATGGGGCACTTACAGAAATATTTCTGTTACTTTGAATGAGCTTTAAAACATTGCTTGGTAAAGAGCTTCACAGATAAATTCTCATTTAGCTTATTGTATTTAAACTATTTCTAACTTTCTAGGGCATAGCTGTAAAAACAAAACAAAACAAAAAAAAAACCATAAATCTTTAACTTACTATTTTTACAGTTGTAATGTTGGTCCTTGTAAAACACTACTAGACTTTGAAAGCAAAAACACTGACCTCTGCCTTAGTGTCTCATTACTTTCCTGGTCTTGACATAATTGTATTTTCCTTGTGTTCATTTTCGTATCCTCTAGAGGGAGAAGTAAGTTGCTCAGACGATGTTAGAAACTCTGCTAAGGCTCCATGAAGAATGCTAATGACACTTCTACAAATGTTGGTGGATCTGTACATGGCACCTAGATTTTTATTCTCCTGGATTTGCAGTTCCCGAGTAAAGTTTTATGCTTACAAAGGTGATAGGGACATAATTTGTCCTGGGCCAGGCATGGCTACAGCTATGGTATTAATGATGGCTTTGGGATGGGATTTTAGACAAACATGCAGCAGACTTTTTTTCTTCTTGTATGTATGAAAGCCCATGGTAAAAATCTAAAAAATTGTGCAGATGCCACTCTTCAGCTGTCCAAATTCATGGGCATAATCTACGTTCTTTTGTGTAATGCAACAGATAGCAACTGCTTTGCCATAAGCACTAGCTCTAAATGCAGTTTAGGTAGTTGACAGTTGCTCTTTTTTCTCTGCCTATGGGTTGTTTATTTTCAAAGAACTGAAAGAAAAAAAAGTTTGGCCCTTCTTCCTGACGTGCAACAACCTGCTTCTGATCTCTGCAGCCTGTGTGGACCTGTAAGCTCTCCTAAGCAAGAATGTGGACCTAGCCTACAGCATTGGATTTAAGACACTCTCTCTCTAATCTAGCCCAGAGATCCATGTCTGCTTTGCAGGTTGCAGAGGCCATGAGGCTGAGATTGTTGAGCAGCAATGACAGTAGGCATTATTGCTTGGTGTTTGGTTTTGGTTGTGTGTTTGTGTTTTTGTTTTGGCTTTTTTTTTTTTTTTTTTAAGATGTGTTTATATTGGGTTGTTACACAGCAAGATGACAGATGGACTCTGACCCTTCTCTTGGCATTAGTGCTGGGCTAAGGGAGTGGTGGAAATATGAAGACAGAAAGCTTGGTTCATGGCTAGCTTCTGGAAGGTCTGCGGGATGCCTAGACACAGAAGGTTTACTTAGCATTCTTTTTCTTCAGCCTTGCTTTTCACCCCATTACCTAATCCGAGCCCTAACCCTGGAAGTTTGATGTGAACCCCATGTTCCGGGCAGGGAGATGCTTCAGATCTGTTACCAGCATTTTGGCTAGGGATCTTGACATCCAAGTCTGAAAATTAACTTCTTCATGGATTCTTCAACATGCAGGTTGGTGTTTGTAGGATACATGAGTTAAACTCATCATATTAGTGAGGTTGCTTTTAGCCTATAAATAGTCAAAGCAGGAGAGGGTGGGCTGGGTAAACAGGCTTCTCACTAGATTAGTAAGGACTGAGTGTTGAGGTGAGGTCAGATGTGTTGAGACTTTTGGGGTAAGGTTTGCTCTGAGGTGGTAAGCATACCAGTTGTGGTCTGCGTGGCACCAAGGATGTGTGGAATACTCAGATCCTGGAGAGCTGTGAGTTGGCAGGAACAGGTGAAGCCTGATGCTGACTAGAAATGCAGAGGGTTTGCTGACTGTTGCTGTTGAAAAGACAAATTTGGCCTAATTTGTGTGTTTAGGATAAGATGTTGCTCTTGATGCTCTTATACTTCTGGTTAGAATAGAAATTTGAGGAGTTGTTTGTCCTCCGTCCTCACCAGGCTTCTCATTCTGCAGTCCCCTGATGCGTGTGAGCTTGCTGAGTACAAGTTTGCACACGTTGTGGAGCGTTGTGTCTCTTTGGGCTACAAATTAGCCTTTGTGTGAGACTTGAGAGCTACTACTATGGATGGTAGACCTCAGGTCTGTCAAAAATTTGGGCCCTCAAGGAAATGTAAGGAGGCAATATCATATTGCATGAAACACACTTTATATAACTTGTTTTGTTGTAATAGTGGTGAATATGAGAAACAGTTCTTCCTTGGAGATATGGTGATAGCTTGAGTGATGGAGCAACAGTCTGGATGGGAAAAGCTAGAGGGGAAAGAACAGTTGAAGTAGGGGCTGCCATTTTGTGGTCCTCCAGCATCCTCTGCACCATCACTTGTTTTGCATGTTGTCACTGGTCTATCTGCAATGCTTGGAGTGCTTTCCAGTTACCCTTTGTTGGTCCAACCTGACCTCAGCTCCTTGCCATCACCATAGACTAAACACCGGCTACTTGAGAGGCAAACCACAGAAACAGCAGGGAGAGCTGGAGACACTTTTCAGGGCCGTTTTGACTTGTTTGAAAAGCCACTCCCCATGAGGGTATGTGGCTGAGGTGGCAGATTTGCAGTGACTTGCCTCCATGACATCAGGAGCATCAGTGCAGCACAGGGTGCAATTCATTGTTGGGGATGGGTAGGGACCAGACCAAGGGCTTAATCCTGCTAAAAGCTTGACTCCTGGTGCAACTAATGGG